TGGGGGTGGAGAGCCACCCCGGGGGGGCGGGGTCTTCGAGGCGAGGGGGTGCATCCCCCTGGCGTCTTTGCTCCCATCACAAAGCGCGCGGCTCTTAAGAAGGTTCTCCCAGTGCGTGAGCCAAAGCGCCAGGGTTTGTCCTCCTCCGCAGGATGGCCAGGGAGCCAGTTCTTGCCCTCTGATCTCTGCCTGCAGGGAGTTCTGGGTTTGAGGGAGGCCTGTGTGAGAGATGCCTGATCTGACCGTCTCCTGCTGGCAGTGATACCCCTAAGCTAGTCCTCTGTTTTCTGGCCAATGCTGGGGAAAGAGGTGCCGCAAGGAGGCTGGGATGGGGAGCGGCCTCGCTTTCTGCTCCAGGATGGCCCAGTCCCCACTTGCCAGCCCGGAAGAGGGTCTCGGGGGGATTCCTGGAGGGCAGGTGCGTGCGTGAGCATCAGAGCAAGGCAGAGTCTGCACCACCCAGCCCAAATTGCTTCTCCACCCAAGAAGGCCAGCTGTGGAAGGATCTGGTTGGCACACCCTGAAGCAGGAAGTTTGCACAGAAACTGGGCAGCCAAGTCCTCGCACTTTGCAGCTCAGGCTTTGCGTCGGAAATGACTAAGCCATCCTGCCACCGTTGCGGAAGGGTGCCCACGATCAGAGGCTGTGGCTAGCCGGCCTTCGGGGCTTCCTGGCTGCTGAAGGGGCCCCAGTACCCTAACCCCCTCCCAGATCGCCCAGGGACTCCAAAGCCCTCGATCCCACGGCCCTCGTCCTTGGCCCTGATTCTAACCGCACTGCCATGTTGACTCTTGAGAAAAGGGAGGTCCCTGCGTAGTCCTGAGATTTTAGACCCCCCTAGAAGCCAAACCAGGACATTGCCCCATGGAGCTGCGGTTAGGTGCTGTCAGCCTTTGGGCTCCAGAGGCAGTCGTCGTCGTCCCCCACTTGCCTCCTAGCCCATTCCTCGTGGTGCCAGCTGAGGCCTCAGTCTGCCCCTGGTGCCCTTTCCCGATTGAGAAGGTCCATCTCCAGCTGAAATTAGCCACTCGCCTTTTTGCTTAATTCTGAAAAGCTGAGCAGCCTCGGGCGAAGAAGTCTATGGGAAAATTGGAGCCTTCTCTCTTCAAAGTGTTTTTATGAAAGGGCCATGTTCCTTCCAGGCCTTCTGGGCAGTGTAAAAGATTTGATCTCCCCTCCCAAGGGGTTCTTACAATTAAAAGTGAGAATCACGCTGAATTATGAAAGGAGGCTGGCGGAGAGGTGAGTTTGGTAACCCAATTCTGCCCAGGCCCAAAAGCGGCATGGCAGGCCAGGGAGGCTGGCAGTTTGGAGAGGCAGAGGGTTCGCTGTCATGCCTCGTTCCACTTTCAAAATATTAGTCCCTTTGCAGGCTTGGCTTGGCACAGTATTGGGAGCAACCCAGGATCACCAGGGGCTGCCCGTCTCATTCTGCAGGAAAAGAAGTAACTGAACGGAAAAGGTTTGCAAGGGTTGTGGGCGGCACATCACACCTTGTGTGTGCAGACATGCTTGTGAAGCGGAAGGGCAGCCAGCGAAGCATTGCTAAGCGGCTGGCTGTTACTCCGTCGCTTCGACCGAAACGGCGTTTTTGTAGACTTTTTGATAAGGGCTGTGGAGGGTCACACCCTTGCAGTTCCAATAATGCTCCTCTGATTTGGGCTGGGATTTAGCTCCAAATATTTTGCTTTTTCTTCCTTTCCTTATCTGCCCCCCACCCCGACCACCTTTTTTGCCCCAACAATTGGCCTCCTCTCTCGGCCTGCGGCTGCTCCAAGCCGGTCCTTTGGGCATCCTCTTCAGCTCTGCTCCTTTGAGGGAGGAACCAAAAGGCAGGATAATGACCCCCCCACCTCTGGTCTATCTGTAACCCCTCGGCCGGCACAGAAATGCAAGCCAGGGATTGCTTGCGGCTTCAGAAACCTACTTTATTCTGGAGGAAGCAGCGCTGTGCAGGAAAAGGGTCCTTCCTGCAGTGTTTGCTGAAGGAGATTCTGCTTTGGAAATGCTTCCCAGGAGAAGAAAATGCCAGCGGGGCACTGAGTGAGGTGGCAAAGGAGCAGGTAGGAATGGCTGCCTTCCCCAGGCCAGCCTCTCCGCAGCCTCTCTGGCTCCCCGTCTGCGTGGCGGCCAGGGACGTTTTTGAGGGACCTAAACAAGAAAACGCCACAGTGGCCAGCATGAGTTTCTCTGCCCTCTCCACCAATAAAGGCAGCTCAAAAATGCCACCTGGTGACTGGTGAAAGAAACGTCCCTCATGTGTCTGGAAACAAGGTAGAACACCCCCACAAATATTGCAAGAGACAAAAAGCAGAGAACTTAGAAGCTAACAAGGTGGAGAGTTTTGATGGTTTTAGAATAAGAGGAAATGAACATCCAACTTTTTGGATGTTTTTAATAGAAACAGATGCTTCTTTAGGACAGGGTCAGCCACTGGCGGCCTTGGGGCGAAGTGTGGCCCTTGGCCTAAATTGCGCAATCCTCAGCAGAGAATCAGAGCTCTTGCAAGAGGGGTCTGGGTCTCCCCAGGTGGTCAGTCGGGTGAGGAGGACGCTCAGGTCACCCCTGATTTAGGGCTTGCTAACCAAATCTTTGGTTTGGATCGCTGTTTCCAGGTATGACGCAGGCAAAGACGGCTTCATCGACCTCATGGAGCTGAAGCTGATGATGGAGAAACTCGGGGCTCCCCAGACGCACCTCGGCTTGAAAAACATGATCAAAGAAGTGGACGAAGATGTTGACAGCAAGCTCAGTTTTCGGGAGGTGAGACGCCACCGCTTAAACCGTCACCGGAGCAGAATTTGGCAGCAGGTTCAGCCAAGTTCCAGTTTGTTTCCAAGTGGAGCACCTGCCAAATTCTGTTTTCCACTTAATGGGGAACGAGAGCTGCAAAAATGGGGTGTCAGTAGGTGTGAAGCTTCAGCTGCACCCTAAAGCCCGCCCGGGCCTTTCTAGAGGGGCACTTGTCAGGCCGCGCTCCTCCTGTCTCCCTCCTCCGTCCTGGCTAAGAGTTTGGGGAACTCAAAACGTGCTCCTTCTGCTCGGTGTCTGCCAGGAGAGGGGCAGGCTGTCCAGTTCGGATTTCTTTTACCTTTGCTTTTCCAAACTGCTTTGGCCCCTCTGCGCAATCCCCGGATGGCCAGCCTCGGGACCCTCCTGCCAGGCCTCACCAGCAGCAACTCCGAGGGTCTCGGACTGTTGATGCTTACGGCAGGTTTCTGTTTCTTCCCCGGCCCCCGAATCTGTTCCCACTGCAGTTCCTTCTCATCTTCCGGAAAGCGGCTGCAGGGGAGTTGGAGGAAGACAGCGGTCTGCACGCCTTAGCCTGCCTCTCGGAGATCGACGTCTCGACGGAGGGCGTGAAAGGAGCCAAAAGCTTTTTCGAGGCCAAGGTAAGGAAGGGGCGGGTGGGAGAAGGGGCCCGTGGATACAGGAGTGCAGCAGACCTGTTGCTGGAGAGGAGAGTCCAGGGCGGATCCCGCGCTCCCCTGCAGCTGTGGGCGCCTTCTGATTTGAGATATTCCAGACACAATTGATGCAAGCAGGAAACAGCTCTTCCAAGCTCGGAGATTTGGAGCAGAACCTGTGGAGGTGCTGGGACGGTCATAACTCTAGGCACCAGTCATAAGTCACTTTTTTAGCACCGTCATAACTTCGAATGGTCGCGAAACAAATGGTTGTTAAGCGAGGACTACCTGTAGTTCCTAGCCTAGCAAGGAAACATCTGCGTGCCGCATTTAATTTGGATAAATCCTTGTTGGGCATCACAGTGCCTTTGCTCTCTTAAGCCAGAACAGGATGGCTTCAGAGCATGGGCAGAATCTCTGCAGTTCAGAGGGACTAGAGACTTCTTTTTAAAACAGACGTTGGGGCTGTGCTGCAGGATTCCCACCAATCTCCTCCACCCTTGGCTTACCCTGAGCTTAGTTGTTGAGCTTTTCCAGCATCCAGGATCAACAGTCACTTCCCACTGCAGCCAGTACAGGTAGTCCTCACTTAACAACCATAATAGGGACCAGAAAACTGGCTGTTAAGCAGGGTAGTTGTTAAATCAGACCCAATTTTCTGACCTTTTTTGTGGTTGTTAAGTGAATCACATGGTTCCCCATTGATTCTGCTTGCCAGAAGACAGCCGGGAAGGTTGCAAATGGTGATCATGTGACCCCAGGACGCTGCAACCGTCATACGTGTGAGCTGGTTGCCAAGTGCCTGGATCGCAATCACATGGCTGTGGAGGTGCTGGGATGGTCATAACTTCAGGCACCAGTCATAAGTCATTTTTTTAGCATTGTCATAACTTCGAATGGTCGTGAAATGAATGGTTGTTAGGCGAGGACTACCTGTAGTTTCTTGCCGTCTTCTCCCTGCAGGTCCAAGCGATGAACGTCACCAGCCGCTTCGAAGAGGAGATCAAGGCGGAACAGGAAGAGAAGCGGCGGCAGGCAGAGGAGCTGAAGCAGAGAAAGGTGGCTTTCAAGGAGCTGCAGTCAACCTTCAAGCAGTGACGGGCCGGACCAAGCAGAGCCATCGGCAGCCGCGGCTCCCATCAAGCCCGCCAGCAAGCTGAACTGCAGCCCCCGGTTCTGGCTTCGTGCTTCGAGCAGCCGCTTAATTTGCAAGCAATAAGCCCCTCCCCACGCTGCAAAAACCCCACCCAGTGTTTGCAGGTCAGGTGGCCGCTAGAAGCACAAGAGCCAGAGAGGTCCTGGTCTGTCGGCAACCCCGTGTGGTTTATGGATGAACCGCTGTGGAAAGATGGGCCTTTGAGCCCCCAGACCCATTCGGAGGGTGCCGCTGTTCCTTGGCCTGTAAAGATTTGCACCCCCCCCCAAGCCAGCCGTTCCGTGTTTCTTTTACCGCGTTTTTGTCTTCTGTCCGCCGGTCTCGTGACTCTCAGTGTCTCCTGGTCCCAGGCTTGCGGACTTGACGCGTGAATCGTTTTGTTCTCCGGCTGCGGTTGTGGTGCATGGATGTGGCTTGCTGTTAGAGGCGGGGCGCGGGGGCCCCCCCCCCCCCGGGGCTCTCACTGGTGGCAGGCCTTTCGTGTGTGCGGTCGCACGGTGAGC